TTTTCTTTTCTTTTCTACCTGCTTCGATGCCTCCGGGTCCCCGAAAACCGGAACAAAGCCGCGTTCGTCTGTTGCTCGGGAGAGCAAACTGGCGATTAATTGATGAAGAAAATTTCGTCTTTCTCTGATGGAGACTCGTCGAAAACTGAAACATTCAAAGTTTCGAAATTCAGCAATGTGTACGTATTTACGGCTGTCGAATATGCAACGATTTCGACGAGATTCTAGAATCAGATGTAAGATACGAAGAACGTTAAATGAATCCCTGAAACTATTTTCCATCCAGTCAAGTCAACTGATTGAAAAGAATTGCAAATCAAATGTTGCCACATGACATAACAATGAATTAACTCTTTAAAGTATTGCACGGATTATGAACTGTCGTGCAGACAACGTTATAACCAATAATTAAAATAATTGATTCACTTGTTAAAAGTTCAAAGGTATATACATGCTATGACATATGGAATAAATACATCAAAAGATACATGTTTAATCCTTTAACTGCGGATAACGTCAATAAACGATTTTAATGTATATCTAAAATGAAATTAATTTACATTATCATATTACTTTTTACCCTACGTTAATGGTATATTTATTTATAATAATTGAATGTATTAATTTCGTCATTTTTCGACGGATTCCATACGCGCAGTTTCTCAAAATATAGTCAATCAAAGGATTAAAGACCGAATGCATTCATCTACTCCTCGACTTCAGCATTCAAATATTCAGCTATATCACACATAGGATTAATAGCGAGTAACTTCACAAGCACAATGGCCACGAGCCAAAGACATCTCACCTTTGGTGGCTGCAATTAATGCAGGATAAAACGATGAACGAACAAGATGAACTTGTATTTTTCAGGAACGATCGACGCACGAAAGAAGACCAGAGGAGATGCCCTCGTTGTACACGAATGCGAGACCCGCGGACACCAGTAAACACAGCGTAACTGCTGCCGCTTCCGAATTGCTGGCCCGTTCCGGTTTTCAACCGTACCGGCCTGAACACCATCCGGCCCACGCTCCACCGGCTTTCGCCCTGGATCCTGCGGCCTACAATCCTTATCATCACGGTCTCTATCCACCGCCGCACCTTCAACACGCTTATAGGTAACGTGTGCCGCATAGCGCGCGATGATCTCTAACACTGCGGTATAACTGTATCACGAGCAATCGCGCTCCCGTTTAAGACGTGATTTCCTACGAATGTCAGACGCATTTAGACGCGATTTTCGGCTATTAAGTAGCATTAGATAGGCGAATGTCGCGTCCAATGGAAAGTGTGCCTGGTCGTCGAGACGCTCATAGATAATTCATTACCCTCGTGCTTGTATTCGCATGTCTACGCCAGAGGTTTCCAATGCACATTCTTAATTTGAAAATTGAACATTTGAAAGTCGGGTGTTTAAAAAACGGGGATACGAACATATAGAATATACGTCTGACGCTTATGGGAGATCCTATTAATGGTAGCGCGCCTAGGGGTTTTCCAATGTCTATAGTCGTGTATAACGTTGTTGTTCTACCTTATACACAGATTAGAGGAACAGTTGTACTTGGAACGGTGTGGAATGCTGAGACCGCCGTTATTTCCTGGTTTACCTTCGTATCCTCTGTACGGGTTAAGATACAGTCCGGACATGCTACCGCCTGCATCCCTCGGACTGATGTCTCCCGTGATGCACGAGCGGTAAGTTGAGAAAGCTTGAAACGGGGCGAGGACACGGTGCGGATCGGACGATACAGCCGATCGAGGGATCGATCGGAACCATCGCTTTATTAACGGTTTGTCGATTCTCGTTTCAGATTGAAGCTGGAGGAGGAACACCGGCTCAGGCAAGCACGGGAGCAAGCCGCGTTGCGGGAGGAGGAGGAGAGGAGACGAGCGGCACGAAATTCCGCTCCTGCAGCCCCGGTACCCGCGCCTGCACCTGCATCCGCCGATACTGCAGGTGAGCGAGTCGCTCCACCCCCCACTGCCTTTCATTAAAAAGAAAGCATCGATTACGAGCGATCGCGAGACTTCTGTCCCGCCGCTTGTTACACGCGGAAATAACCTTATTTCTCTTCTTCTCGGTTTTCTTTTCCTTCTTTTTCTTCTTTTTTCTTCTTTCTTTTTTTTTTTTCTCGTGCCTTTTTTATGCGCGGTGTGTCATACCGATCGACCGATACTCCGACGACGCTTGATCGTCGATTCTTTTCACCTCTCGATTTCCTCCCGACGATTTTCTCCTCCCTTCTCATATCAATTTCTGTTCTTTTTCATGGCACGATTACGATGGTAATGCGCTCGCGTTGACATTTCAATCGTTTCCCCTTTTCTTCTTTTCTTCTCTCTCTTTCTTTCTCTCACTTCGAGCTTTTATGCACGTGTTAAAATTACCGCGGCGCGTAAGAACCATGTATGAAATTACTTCATAGGGACAAATCGATCTTCCGTCTTTTGTTTGTCAATTTTGACAATCGGTGCCAAGCGATCGAACCATCGGCAAGGTAACGTGAATTGGTAACGCTGAGTTAAGTTGAATGACCTGTAAAATGCGACCGTGACAACAGTTAATCGTGAACTGGCGATGCGGCAAGAGCGAGGAGAAGTCGTTGCAGAATATACATACATACCTGACTGTGAGTGAAATCGAAACAGAAAAGAAAAAAAAAGAAACATACTACGCTTCTAATTTTAATCTAGATATAATCAAAGTTATAGTCATAGCCAATCGTTTCTTATAAAAGGTAGGATCGATATTTTTTAGATAAGCGTATATAACTCGACCAACGAGTCGAGTTATTATCCCTCGGTTTTTACCTTTCGGTTTTCTCTTTTTTTTTTTTTTCTTCTCTTTCTTTCTTCTTCTTTTTTTTTTTTCTTTCTTTCTTTCTTTCGTTCGTTCGTGTTTTTCTTTCTTTGAACGAGAAGAAAGATACAATACCGTTCGACCATACTGTACGTAACGGCAGTACCAATCCAGTGATCTCTGTTCGAACGTTTCATCGTAATCGAAGAGACCAATTGGTACGTCGCTTGTCCTATATTTTCCTAGAATTAATGGAAACGGTGCAAAAGTGCCAGTCTCGCATTTCCGAGATCCCGATTTTGTTGTGCGCGTTGACCGAAGTCAGACTTATCGGCAACTGCGACTATCCTCTTGTCCATATTTAAAAGAATAAGTCGGCCTTCGGTCGGCCGATTAAGTCGTATTCGAGGCATAATATGTTCGAAATGATTTCTGTAGTGTTGGAATGAAGTCTCTGAATCATGTACAATGATATGTTCGTTATGTAGTTAATCGTTTTTATAGTTGGTAACGTCGTGAACGGCGAAACTTCAACATAAGAGTGCACATCTTTAGCATGGAAATGCTTATATCACTACAGTGGGACTTCCGTTTGGAAGATAACGTCACACGGCCATACGTACAAATTCTATTATTTTTTTGTTTCTTTTTTTCAAATCGATCGTTTTCCTTCGATGAATAATCTTTCACGTAAAATGTGTACGTGAAACGAATGTGTAACTGTAATTATATGGTTTAAATCGATGGTTATTATCAAATATGACGTTCCTTTTTCTTTTTCTTCCTCTTCTTCTTTTTCTTTCTCTTCTCTT